TATCGCTTTTTGTTTTCTGAAGTTAGAGCTATGTCAACACTGCCGTTTCAGGGCGGGGTCATTTTCAGGACTTTCGTCCCGGATTCAGCTTTTGGCACATATGCCATGTTGACCGCCATGGTCATTTTACCCTAAAACAGTTGAGATTACCTGTGCTAAATGAACTGCATACAAACTCATATACAGGTCCTAGACTATTATAACGACTGCATGACGACAGCGAAATAGCAACCATTTCTTGATTTGATGATTGATAAATTTCTTGCAAATATATTTCATTTTTGATTGCATTTTTGCAAGATTTTGTAAATTTTAAGAAAGAAATGGCAAAAGAATCGGCTAAAAGAAGGAAACCGATGTTAACGAAGGTAAGTTTGTTTTAAATATTGATTTTATAATTGGTTTAAAACCCGACGGCCTTTGGCTTTGCGTATATGAAACAACTAAACAAGACAACATATAATTTCAGTGTATCGTTAATATTGATTCCCTTTTTTATTATATTGAATTTTTTAAATAAAATTAGAAGAAAGCAACGTTATTTGCATGAGAGAATTTGAAATCATTTTATTGCAAACTCAAAGTTTATCGATAAAGCCATAGTTTAATAATTAAAGGCAGTTTTAACATAGGTCTCCCGAAAAGGTCTTTTATTTTAAAAAAATCCATACAATTTGCTTTAAAATACAATGCTTTGACATGCAATGCTTCAATGTACAGTAAAACCTCTATAATTTGTATTACATGAAGTACGTGCAACATCACAATAGCGTTGTGTCATTATGTAATATATTACAATATTCTTAAAAAAATATCGTGTTACCATGACAACAACTTTGGATACTTCATGTTCGGAAAATACAATGGTTTTGTTAGCAAGGCGAGGGTAGAAGCATGCATGTATTTTCTAGTTACATTAATAAATCTCTCTTCGCTAGGTACGTTTTTATAGCGACCGCGAACTCAATTTCTACCCGTTTATTGTTACTTACATGAAATTTTGAGAACAATCTTCTTTGGTTGGGATATTTGATGTTATTAAAGTATCCTTCTAAGTTACAACCATTCTTAAATGTGGAATAAAATGAGAGTTTTGAAGAGTTTTCAATTTGATGTTTCCAAAATGATGTATGGTTATCTTTAATAATTTTTTTACGAAATCATTGATGTTTGTGTCCTGGACAAATTGTTCCATGGCCAGAAATGCGAGACATGCGCCTGCCTTGTACAGCGGCTACTTGAGGGGTACTTGGTTTTACTAATTTAAATTAACTCTAATTTAAGCAAAGCGAAGCCAGACAGAAATATTGCTCAAATTATTCAAATGATATTGTTTTTTAGAATAGTATTCTTACACGTAGTTATATAGTTCGCATATTCACTGAGACATTTATTCAAGCTATGGCTCTCATTCGTGCGTAAATTACAACTAAGATATGATAAAAATCTTATGTTAAAATATCGAAGACAACTGGTATACTTACAAAAACTCGTCACTTTCTGAATTGACTAACACACTAATAACATTATACAATACGCTTGTTTACCCATATCTATATTATGGTAATATAGTGTGGGCTAATAATTATCCATCCAGATTAAAAAAAATCATAAAAATAAAAAAAAAGCAATTCGGATTATTACGTTCAATCTGCATACATTGCAAAGTCAGCGCCTCTTTTTCAACAGCTAAAATTATTAAACCTTAATCAAATAAATGATTTATGTACTAGCCTTTTCATGTTTGATTACATAAATGGAAACCTACCAGCCTCATTTAATGATTATTTTACCACAAATAATAAAATACACCATCATGACACCAGGAAGTCAAATTCTATTCACAAAAAATATTTCAGAACAAATTACGGGAAATTCTCAATTAAAACGAAAGGAACAGATTTATGGAATAAAATTCCATCACAAATAAAAGATTTTTCTTCAAAAATAACCTTTAAGCGTGCAGTAAAAAAATATATATAATCTCAAAACAAATAATTTCAATATAGCCTAAAATAAGATTTATTATATTTGAACTTATTGCATCATATACATATAATATATATTATAATTATATCAATGTAAATGTACGTTAGTTCATAGCTTGATTACCTGATAATTTTTTTAAAATATTACAAATGTATCAATATAATACTAGGGGAACTACTTGTAAAAGCCTTTTGGGTTTATTTTTGTTCTCCGTCCAAACATGTTTTGTAAAATACAACTTGTACTGTATATATCTTTCAAAAACTCATTAATAATTCATGAAGCAATTATCCAATAATGAGTAAGAAATTAGTCACGTGCATACGTCTTTATACCAGCTAAAGAACACTTTAACAAAAGACCATTGTTATGCAAACCATATAAAGATTTTTATATAAAGATTTTTATATAAAGATTTTTTATATAAAGATTTGACTTATTATGCATACGTTTTTGAAGCCATCTAAAAAACTCGCAGGTCGTGTTTTATTAGGTCTAAAGCCACTCGCGCTGCGCGCTCGTGGCTTTAAACCTAATAAAACACTCCTGCTCGTTTTTTAAATAGTACTTAATTAAAAAACTCATTAATAATTCAGGAGCAAAACACAAAGAAAAATCATAAGCGTGTCGTGGTTATATATGTGATATAAAATCATGTTAATTTACATAAACTTTAGCTTTGATTTTCTCGGTTTAGACAAAGTTTATTTTAAAAATTACTTCGCCAATGAACTCGTACAAGCTGAGTCGTTTTTTAAGCCATTTAAAGCGCTTGTAGTCGTGTTTTATCACATATAAAACACTCCGCTACGCGTCGTGTTTTATATGTGATAAAACACTCCTACGCGTGCTTTAAATAGTACATCAAGTTCAGACTATTGTAACATATTTGGAAAATTAAATTGAATTGAATTGAACTGAATATGTTTCTTAGTATTTATGTTGCGCAAAATAGCATTGTAATATGATCTAATGCGCTTAGTACGTAGGGAGATCCGCCGGTATACTTTGCCGTATATTTGGTCAAATACAGCACATTCTCCCCTCTGGATACATAAATTTCCCCTCCTGTCCTTCCGTATTAAAAAGCCTGGTTCCTGAGCTTCTTGTTGATACCAAAATGGCGCAATATATTCAAAAGAAAACATGGCTCCGACCGTCCAACGCGCTTTTTAATATTCAGACGTCGATATAAACCTATATTCGCGTATATTGGGTCGTGTCTATAAGTTAATTTTCGTGGTTTTCAACGTTTATGGGAACCCATAGTAATCATCATTGCTCCCCAGATTCTGGACTTCGTTTTGGTATAAAATATGTCCGGCTATATGAAAAGAATAGATGTCGTTTTTACATGTTTATCGCGTCTTCGCTCACATGAAAATTATCGTTTGTGGATAATTCACCTGTCAATTTTTACTGCATTTCTCGGCAAAAATGGACGGTCTAAATTATATAAGATCACTTCGAAAAATAACAGACGGAATACTTGATGATGTGAAGTTTACGAGGGAAGTGAGGCAAATTTGACAAGAAATGAAACGGGTCGTAAAATTTTGAACGAAACTGGCCATTTTCGCGGAAATTGGGCACATTGTATACAGTTCATAGGAGCCAAATCTGTGCGATACGGCCATACGGGTAAATAAATGAACGTACTAGGAGGTAATAACATGATATGATATTTATCTTGTTTGACTACAAATGTTTTGTTATTTTCAAAAATAGTGAGGCAAATTTTGTAACAGCGATTGAACTGGCTTATATTTACAAAAAATGGCGTTTTCCTATACTATTCTATAGTAGCGTTTCGGTCATTTTGTTTTTTAAACTTCGCACATGCTCAGTGCAAATGTCTTGAATTTCTGCCCATGAATATCTATTGTTTCTTCGATATTGGGATAGAAGTTTTTGATAATGTTAGCGGCATAACGAAAAAAGTGGCTAAAAAGAGGGTGGGAAAGGGTATTTTCGTGAGCCGTGAATGGTAAATATTTGTACGTGTGAAATGTGAAATGCTTGATTTTAGTGTCATGAAATGTGATTTGTTCTACAGCCGTGAGGCGTGATTGTTGATAAAAATGCTCCGTGAAATGAGAATTAAGGATGCCTGTTTCGTGAACTGTGATTATTATAGTGATTATTATAATAAATATGATAAGCGATAATAAAATTGATATGATCTCACTCGATTGCACAAGAGTAAAAACTCCGGAGACCTTTCGCGAGGTTCCTCACGCTGAGGACAAGGTTTCTGGCGGTGACGACAAGCTTCCTGACGCTGAGGACAACAAGGTTCCTCACGCTGAGGACAAGGTTCCTGACGCTGAGGACAAAGTTCCTGGCGGGGAGGACAAGGTACCTGGCGCTGAGGACAAGGTTCCTGGCACTGAGGACAAGGTTCCTAGCACTGAGGACAAGGTTTCTGGCCGTGAGGACAAAGTTCCTGGCGGTGAGGACAAGGTTCCTGGCCGTGAGGACAAGGTTTCTGACGATGAGGACAAGGTTTCTGGCGGTGAGGAAAAGGTTCCTGGCGGTGAGGACAAGGTTCCTGGCGTTGAGGAAAAGGTTACAGGCGGTGAGGACAACTGATGTTCCTGGCGGTAAGGAAAAGGTTACTGACGGCGAGAACAATGTTTCTGGAGGTGAGAACAAGGTTCCTGGCGCTAATAACAAGGTTCCTGGCACTGAGGACAAGGTTCCTAGCACTGAGGAAAAGGTTGCTGGCCGTGAGGACAAAGTTCCTGGCGGTGAGGACAAGGTTCCTGGCCGTGAGGACAAGGTTTCTGACAATGAGGACAAGGTTTCTGGCGGTGAGGAAAAGGTTCCTGGCGGTGAGGACAAGGTTGCTGGCGTTGAGGACAAGGTTACAGGCGGTGAAGACAACTGATGTTCCTGGCGGTGAGGAGAAGCATACTGGCGGTGAAGACAAGGTTCCTGGCGGTGAGGACAATGTTCCTGGCGGTGAGGAGAAGGATACTGGCGGTGACGACAAGGTTCCTGGCGGTGAGGACAAGGTTCCTGGCGATCAGGAAAAGGTTACTGGTGGTGAAACAATGTTTCTGGTGCTGAGGAGAAGGTTACTGGCGGGGAGGACAATGTTCCTGGCGGTGACGAGAACGGTACTGGCGGTGACGACAAGGTTCCTGGCGGTGAGGAAAAGGATACTGGCGGTGACGACAAGGTTCCTGCCGGTGAGGACAAGGATCCTGGAGGTGAGGACAAGGTTCCTGGCGGTGAGGACAAGGTTCCTGAAGGTGAGCACAAAAGTTCCTGGCGGTGGGTGAGGACAAGGGTCCTGGCGGTGGGTGAGGACAAGGTTCCTGGCGTTGAGGACAAGGTTACAGGCGGTGGGGACAACTGATGTTCCTGGCCGTGAAGAGAAGGATACTGGCGGTGAAAACAAGGTTCCTGGCGGTGAGGACAAGGTTCCTGGGGGTGAGAAAAAGATTACTGACGGTGAGGACAATGTTCCTGGCGGTGAGGAGAAGGATACTGGCGGTGACCACAAGGTTCCTGGCTGTGAGGACAAGGTTCCTGCCGGTCAGGAAAAGGTTACTGGCGGTGAGAACAATGTTTCTGGTGGTGAGGCGAAGGTTACTAGCGGTGAGGACAATGTTCCTGGCGGTGACGAGAACGGTACTGGCGGTGACGACAAGGTTCCTGGCGATGAGGAAAAGGATACTCGCGGTGACGACAAGGTTCCTGCCGGTGAGGACAAGGATCCTAGCGGTGAGGACAAGGTTCCTGGCGGTGGGTGAGTACAAGGTTCCTGGCGGTGAGGACAAGGTTTCTGGTGGTGGAAACAAGGTTACAGGCGGTGAGAACATGGTTCTTGGCGGTGAGGATAAGGTTCTTGACGATGAGGACAAGGTTACTGGCGGTGAGGACAATGTTCCTGGTGGTGACGACAAGGTTCCTGGCGGTGAGGACAAGGTTCCTGGCGGTGAGGACAAGGTTCCTGGCGGTGAGGGCAGGGTTCCTGGAGGTGAGGACAAGATTTCCTGGCGGTGAGGACAAGGTTCCTGGCGGCGAGAACAAGGTTCCTGGCGGTGAGGTCAAGGTTCGTGGCGGTGAGGACA